TTTGTCAATAATCTTTTTAGTTTGCTATGGCTTGGGTTTAATTTATTCGATATTTGTCTGCTTTCTTTTTTTGTTGTAGTGGCCGTCATAAATAGTTTTCGGTTTTTCTGATTTCTATATTGTCTCTGTATGCTGTTTCAAATTAAAAATGGTATAAAATTTAATATTTTATAAAAAAAAAATGTTCATTGTATAGCTAGAACTCAGAAATGGTAAATCGAAACTTTGTTGTTGATTATAGTTGATTCAAACTATATTGTAAATCGAAAGTCATAAATTTTTGGTAATTCAGAAAAAATTACTATTCTTCAAGTTGGATTTTCCACATGCAGACAGGAACAGCCAAAGTAGTTTGTATGTTGTGTATACTAATATAAAGATAAGATGCTTATACGTGAAGCGAATATTCAATGGAATAAATTTCAGAGATACCGTATTAATAATTGTGTCTCCCATTTTGTTTGCATTTTTAAGCAAATATCAAATGAATATATGCAAGGTTGTCTTAGCGTATTGATTTGAGTTTATGTAATTTCGATCTACAAGTAATTGGATATTCAAAGTAATTAGAGTTGCCCATGATTTGATATATCATATGCGTAACGAAAACTATTGACCAAATTCATAATAACAAAGTCAAATATTTGTCTTCAGGAGTACGTATACGTTATTGTGATCGTTACAAAATATAATCATCTTCGATAAACATTTTAACATACGAATAAAAATGTAAATTTTTTTTTTTTTGATAAAAAAAATGTAAATATTTAACAAATCAAAATTGTTTTTCTTATTCAATTTAATTGATTAAGTGAGAAGTGAAGTTGGTGCGCATGGTCCATATAAATTACACTCATTTTAGAATTCTCTTATAAAAATGGCCTCTCAAAATATCATGGAGTCAGCCATTTGTGTGGACATATTTCTTAAAAAAATGATCGGAAGGAACCAAAAAAAAAAATGATTCACCTAAAAATTTATCAAAATCGTGTGACTAAGCCAGTGTTGTTGGCTTCTCCAAAATTTTGTCACATTAGTAATAGCACCATAGCAATCACTATAAAGACTGTCACCCAAGATTGGGATTAATTTATAAAAATTTAAAATCAATAGGAAAAATGATTGTTCTAATTATATATACCACTACTTAACGAAGTATTTTGCATATTTTAACCACATACTTTTCACAACAACATGATATCAGTCTAAGACACAAATTGTTGGTATATCAGTCTAAATTTCAT